TGGAGTACCCTAAGGAGGCGACTTTTAGGTTCAATTGCCATAAGATCAGAAATTTATTGTCATACTAGTATACATAAAACGGGGAATATAAAAAATGAAACATCTTAAGGCTACATAGAATATCTTTTACAGGTCTATTCTGCACGTTACCGAAGATTTTGTAACCGGAAAATATTATTACCAAAAAATGTTACCAGTTCTTGTCACCGCGATTCTAGGAACGTTGGTAATGCCGTTAAAATATTCAGCAATTCAGCTATGAAGAATTGTGCAAATTCTGGCATTGCATATTTCACGGGGCAATACTTTGTTACCAGCTTATGAGATGGTAACAAAATTTACCGGTTACAAGAATACACAGAATGCGAAAAGGGTTAAAAAATTGACAGGAACTTTATTTACCGGTTACAAACTTCTTATTACCAGCGCAGAATAGACCTGTTAATGGACGATTTCAGCGCGAGCAGTGTCAAAATAATGACGATATATTAAATATTTCATCACCTTTTAAACAATTTCATATGTTTGAATATTATGTGAATGTGGGAAATTTATTCAATAACAATTAATTTTTTTATATATGTACATTAGGGTGCCTCACCAAAAAATGTTGCGGTTTTCCGCCAAAATTATAAAACTTAATAGACTAAAAGACTTTGGCCAAAATATTTCGAAATAATAGATAGTACTGGAGTTCATTCTTTGATGAGAAAATGCGAAAGACAAAAATGGGCGCTTTGTCTTGCACAAACAGCGTGAACGGTGTTAAATAATATAGCTAGTGCGAAATGCTTAATGTCAAATGGCAACAGCTGTTTACGAAAATTTTATGAATTCATACAAAATTAAATAGGTTTATAGAGCTCTATAACATTTTCATACAAATTTTCGATTTATAACGCAGTTAAAGCCTTCTTTATATTTTATGAATTTGGGTGTTAAAATATATATAGAGACCGATTCTGAAAAGAAACTCCCTGAGAGTGTTCTTTCATTTCCCTTTCCTCCTATTACGAATAAAAATTCCCTGAGAATTTTTTTATTTTAAATGGCAGAGTTGAGCTGTCAAATAAGTGGCAAACAGCCCTTTCGAAGTTCGAATTTCCTCCTTCCAAATTTTCGGGAAAAGTTAATTATTGTTGGATTGGAGGATTTCGAGAGAAATGCTAGGAAAAGATATCGGCAACAGTGGGCTTTAATTCGTCAAAGTAAATAAAATCTAAAACGCATTTTTATCGACGCAACAACATATTTAATGTGGACTTTAGGTACTGCAATAATATCGCCGATTCCGAAACGTTCGGAGTAGCTCTAAACATTTGTTATATATGTAGTTTAAAATTTTTTTAAACACATCAGGCTTTTGAAGGTCCTTCATATAACTATTCCTGTAATTTTGGGAGTAAGTCTGAAACTTCAAATTTGGGTCATAAAGCATTTTTTATTAACAGAAATGTATACTATGGATTTTGCGGGTATGTGCTGTCGAAATTTTTGGAGTAGCTAAACATACATATGTATTTGAAATAGTTTTGCAAAAACATTATGTATTCGACTTTTCAAAGTCTATTTAAATTATTTTTTTGACTCCGAAATTTTCGGAGTAACTCCGAAACTCTTATGAA